GGGGCCTGAGCAGCAGGCCGCATTTGAGACACTGAGACAGAGATTGTGCGAGGCGCCAATCTTAGCCCTGCCAGAGGGCGTGAAGGATTTTGTAGTGTATTGAGATGCGTCCATCTCGGGTTTGGGCGCGATATTGATGCATATGGGGCATGTTACCGCCTACGCTTCGAGGCAGCTGAAGCCTCATGAGGCGAACTATCCGACGCATTAGTTAGAGTTGGTAGCAGTTGTTTTCTCCCTCAAGATTTGGCGTCATTACCTCTGTGGGGTCCGTTGTACCATTTACACGGACCATAAGAGTTTGAGGTACCTCATGGATCAACCAAATCTGAATATGAGACAGCGTCGATGGCTAGATGTGGTGAAGGATTACGATTGTGATATCCTTTACCACCCGGAGAAGGCCAATGTCATGGCCGATGCGCTTAGCCGCAAGGCAACACCGATCAGAGATATTTGCTTGAGGATGACCGTGGTGACTCTGCTGTTGGAGCGGATTCGAGAGGCCCAGCAGGAGGTTATGAAGAAGGAACATCGTAAGAGTGAGCGTATTGTGGGCAAGGTTTCCTCCTTCTATTATGACAGCCGTGGATTGTTGACACTACACCGTAGGGTGTGGGTCCCATATCGTGGAGGTGTGCGCCAAGTATTGATGGAGGAGGTGCACAAATCCAGGTTTTCCATCCATCCCGGGGCGACGAAGATGTACAAGGATCTCCGTCTTGATTATTGGTGGCCCTGCATGAAGCAGGATGTAGCTTGGTATGTTGAGAGATGTCTGACCTGTAGGAAGGTCAATGCCGAGCATCAGAGGCCCCACGGAAAGACCCAGCCGTTGGATATCCCGATGTGGAAATGGGAAGATATCACTATGGATTTCATCACGAAGCTTCCCACGACCACGCGGGGAGTGGATTCGATTTGGGTCATCATGGATCGGTTGACCAAGAACGCCCATTTCATTCCTATTCAGGTGAGCATTTCAGCCGAAAAGTTGGCCGACATCTACATCAGAGAGGTAGTGGCCCGGCATGGGGTGCCAGTCTCGGTGGTTTCTGACAGAGATGTGCGGTTCACTTCCAGATTCTGGAAGAAGTTTCACGACGAGCTGGGTACTCGTCTGCACTTTAGCACCGCTTTTCACCCGCAGACGAATGGTCAGAGCGAGCGGATCATCCAAACTTTGGAGGATATGCTGCGGGCATGCATTTTAGACTTCGGAGGTAGTTGGGATACTTACCTTCCTTTGGCAGAGTTTTCCTATAATAACAGCTATCACGTGAGTATCGACCGTCCTCCCTTCGAGATGTTGTACGGGAGGAAGTGCAGGACCCCGATATACTGGGGTGAGGTTGGACAGAGGGTCATGGGGAGTACCGAAGTGGTACTCAAGACTACAGAGAGGATCCAGCAGGTTTGGAGCAGGCTTCAGACTGCTCAGAGTCGGCATAAGAGTTATGCCGACAAGCGTCGTTCGGACCTGGAGTTCCAGGTCGGGGATATGGTGCTCCTGAAGATGTCGCCTTGGAAAGGTGTCATTCGGTTCAGGAAGCGGGGCAAGTTGGGCCTCAGGTACATTGGACCTTTCAGGGTTGTAGCCCAGGTGGGCAAGGTGGCATATAGGTTGGACCTGCCAGCCGAACTCAGTCAGATTCATAGTACTTTTCACGTCTTCCAGCTGCGGAAGTGTCTGGTAGACGATTCAGCAGTGGTGCCTTTAGAGGATATTTAGGTGGATGATAGCTTGAACTATATCGAGCGGCCAGTAGCTATCCTCGACTGGAAGACGAGGGATTTGAGGAACAAGAGGGTGGAGCTGGTGAAGTTGCAATGGCAGCACCGCAAGGGTTCAGAATGGACTTGGGAGCCGAAGGACGAGATGAGGGAGCACTACCCAGAGCTTTTTCCGGATTCAGCAGCAGACTTCGAGGACGAAGTCTAAAATAAGTGGGGGAGATTTGTAACACCCGATTCCTGGTACGTATTTAAGTTCAAGTAATTTCATGTTTTGCACTGGGACTCGGCGAGTTAGAGGCCCAACTCGTCGAGTAGACTCAACTTTTGTTCGGGAGGATAAGTGACCTAATTGGTGGTGCCCACCGCCATGAACCGCCGTCGACCACCACTGCCTGAGGTGGAAGTGGGTGGTGCCCGACCTAGTAAAACCCTAATTAACCTAAAAACTTAACTTTGGACCTAATTGGCATGTGTTTGGGTTGGAAACCCTAATTAGGGTTTAGAAAACCCTAATCTTGGAGATTTTTGTTGAGACTTGCCAGGACCCAGGTTTTGGACCGTTGGATTGGAGTTATGAGTTATACCCAACCACATTGTATGATTGACCTGGTAGAGTGATGGACTTAATGGATTAAGTCCTTAATGGTTTAAGCGTTCTCAATTAACCCTAGCCGTTAAAACCCTAATCATGGTTGGGCTTCGAGTTAGGCCTTTCTTTTGGGCTTAGGTGTTTGGGTTCTTGTTGGGCCATCTGAGAACTAGTGTATGGACTAAGATATTTGGATGAGCTTTAGGGTAAGGCCCATGTAAGGGGTTTGGGCCCAATTTGAAAAATTGGGCCATATTTGGACATTGGTTGATTATTTGGCTTTTGGGCCTCCAGAGTTTGAGTTTGGGCCTTGGTCTTGGACCAAGCTAGGTTAGGGTAAAATAATATTTTTACCCCCAGTATGGATTTATGGTTATGCATTGGCACCCAATTGTTAATTGGGTGTTGTTTTGATGTTTGACATTTCGGGGATCTTTCAGCCAGCAACCGAGGTTTGTCTGTGTGATTCGGCAGTGTGAGGTGAGTCTTCTCACAATATCCATGGGTAGAAGGGTCCAATGCCAGCCGATTACGTGTTATATGCTATGCTAGTTGTCTCTGTGATACTTGCATGGAAGACCACGGGGGGAGCCCATGACATTTGGATATCAGACCATGGAGGGAGTCCATGACATTCCATATAAAGACCATAGGGGGAGCCCATGGCATACTGGATGAAGACCATGGGGTGAGCCCATTGCAACTATATGTGTATTGCATGATAATCTGTGGTTGTATGTTGTATGATATTTTGGGGAACTCACTAAGCTTTGTGCTTACGGTTTTCAGTTTATGTTTCAGGTACTCTGGTTTTCAAATGGAAGGGTTCGGGATGATTGCAGAACACACACACCACATGTTTTCGTCTTCTGTGAATTACTCTGATTTGTCAATGTTTTGTTAAAACTTAATTACTCTGGTTTTTGTGGGAAAGACATGTATTAACGATTTATTAATCTAAAAACAAAAAATTTTATATCATGATTTTTGGGGTGTTTCATTAAACATTTCAAACTATTTATATGGGGATTTCGCAACATACACAACGCATATGACGAGTTGATGTGCCACGTAACAGCTTTTGTCGTGTAACTTCAAGTAATTGACACTTAGGCACAACATGTATTCATGTGTGGCGGTGTACGTACGACTCTTTTCAACATCTCTTCGATAGACTTCAATCCAATCTAAATTCCAACTCTATTTTAGCTACTTTTTATACAGCAACGAAATTATTTGTAAAATAACAATTTAAAGCATATTAAACATCTTTTGGCCTATTTTGCATCAAAACATAACATAAATATATTTGATATCACATAAAATATATATGTATAAAATAGCCGATATTAGACATGCTGAAATAATTGTAAAAACATTCTAGAAGCATGTTTCATGCTGGTTATGCATACTCATATATGTTATGCGTGTGCCATATTAGTTCATCATGTTCTAGACTAGTTCATTATTTTAAAGACCACTTATTTTTCTTCCGGGCATGCATTTAATCTATGAAATACATGACACATCCTCATGATTTATGTAAACTAAGACTAAGTACCGATGGATACTCAAGATTTATGTGTATTTACCCTAAGTTCATCGAATTTTGGAACAAATTTCCATGTTCTGGACACAGTCATCATATTCTGGACATTTTTTTTTTCTATTATGGCTTATGATTTACACTATCTAATCGATAAAATGTTAACGACACAAATCATTAGAGATAACACAGTCGCAACACCAAAAACTTTTCATTAACTTTAGACGCCACATTCCAAAAACAAGGTATAAATAAAGAGGGGCCAATAAATCCGGGTGGGATGCTCAACCGTTATCGGGTCCGAAATGCCCTATCATGGACAAGTTGATAATTTGTTAATAAAACATATCCTTTTTGTTATTTCCTTTAATGTTAAATATCCCAAATTAAGAATCGATTATAAGCTATATTTATTTTTATTTTTGTAACCCTAAAAAAATATAAAAGAATAATTGCATACATTACTCGAATTCGTAAATGAGTACAAAAAGCCAGTAAGCCACAACCTTCAACAACAGTTTTATGAAAGCACTTTGGCTCCTTTCTCGTATGTTCTTTTGCCCTTCGTCACCTTTTCCCTTCTTCATTAAAATATATTAAGGAAAAACATTTTTAAATACTGAAAAATATTTAAAATCCCATCAGTTTTATAGAATTTACTATGAATATTTAGATGGAAAGTGCCATGTGGTGAGCTCAGAGGTCTGCACATGGCTTCACGAACTTCTAAGCTTCAAACGAGTAGGGTATTAGGTTTCCGAGAGAATCATCAGTTGCAGAGGAAACAGCAAACACTAATCTCATTGGTGACCATTTTTCTAATGAAAAATAATCGTCACACTTATGGAGAATTGTGTGTAAACTTGTCTGAGTTCTGATCATCTTTAGTATATCAAAAAGGTTTCATTTCATTTTTATTTCTTCACCACTTCAAATTCTATGTATTTATATATCTTTCACACCACACATCTCTCTGAACACAGTAGAATCTGTTTTTGTATCTTTTTTTCCTCTCCTTCTGAATCTTGCACAATCAATCGAAAACCCTATCTTTATATTTTTAAAATTCGACTCTTTTCCTTTCCTTTTCTTGAATATACGAGTCTGAAGAGCATAGTAGCAGATCAGATGAATTCTTGCTGTTGTTCACTCAGCTACACATGGATCATTTCCTTTTTAATCCCCATTTTCACTTTTGCTTGTGAGCATTTCACTGTGTCTATCATCACGACGTTAGTTTTGGTTTCTTCTGCATTTTTGTTCTTGATACACTCTAAGCACAACTTACAAGTTCTTGAGCAGCAAGATCAACAACCCTACCAAGAAGATGATCAGAATGATGTGAATCAAGTTACAGAAGCCGTAAAGAAAGGGTGTTTTGATGTGGGTTCACCGGATTCTTGCTCTGAAAGTGAAGTCATTGATCAGTTCTCATGTACAACCGAAGAAGATTCCGACTTTGATGGCTGGCAATTTTCCGGCGAGGTATACCGGAGACCTGACTGCTCTGACGGCTCCATATCCGACGAGGAGAGCTTAATTGAAATCGCACTCCCCGGTGGCCACTATGTTGGCTACCAAGACGTTGAAGAACCCAAGTTTTGTTGTCGACAGAGGTCACCGGAATCTGTATTGTGGTGGCCGGAGATGAATGAGGAAGAAAATATGATAGAAATAGACTTATCTGTGGGGTCAATTAAGTGCTCAAGATTTGAAATTAAAGCGTGAGTAGTTAAGATTTCATGATGATGAAGGTTTTTTATAATCCTTAATGGATTTGTTGTATCCCTTCAACTATTTTTCTTCTAATTATTGTTATTGTAATAACATAAATTTTAGATTATGTTTATATATACTGATTTCGATAATTTGGGTTTCTTAATTTTTTTTGAACGTCAATATACTCTATACATTCTAGTCCTAAACTACTATTAAACTACTCTTAAATCCATCTCCATCTATATCTTTAACTAATCATGAAAAAAACTAATGACAACACCAAATACTTCTAGACAAAATGCGGTTTGATCCACAATTTGGGTCTTTTATTGATTTTATTTTATATAATTATGAAAAAAAATCCATACCCAACAGGAAACCCTATACAAAGATGAGTTGACTTGGAATCCAAAGTTTACCACGCACGGGCAATGGATGTTAATTTGATTTCGATCCGATCAATTAATTTCAAATTGTTTTTCGTTTTAAACTATGTACTCAAAAATATTGAACTAAATTATAATTTTTGTCAATAAAAATGTAATTCGGTTGGATCTAATTCAAAAACAATACATTCCAAACAATATACTATCAACCAGTTTAATATTTTTGAGTATAAACACACAAAATATTTAATCTTTTATCATCTTAGACAACTCCCATAAAAAAATTATGTAGTTATGAATTACAATTTATATATATCAACAAAAACTTTATATACGGGATGCACTTCAATTCTAATTAAAAAGAACTCTATATTTTTTTTTTGCATATAATAAAAATAGAAAATATAAAAAAATAATGAATAATTGTTATATTGTTGGATCCTCTATATTGTTATTTTACGGTTTGTAAGAACGTGTGACAACCGTCAAATTCAAGTCAAAATCAAACTCAACAAGTCAAAGTCAAAGTCAAACCCAACAAGTCAAACCGGTCAAACTTAACTAGCATTTGTATGTCAAGAATCCAAGTGTCTCGGAGAATTTATGTGTTTAGCAATGTAAAACCCTGAAAAGGGAGTTAAATGCATCAAAACACGACTATGAACCCTTTTGGGGACTTAAAACAATCATAAACGAAGCATA